GTGCGCGGCGCCGCACGTACGGGGGGTGTGCGCATGCGTGCTCAGCGCTGCACATACCAGGTGCAGCCGTGTGCTCGGCGCTGCACGTACCAATATGCACATGCGTGCTCAGCGCTGCACATACCAGCTGTAGCCACGTGCTCAATGCTGCACGTACCAGGTGTGCGTGCATATGTGCTCGGTGCTGCATATGCTGAGGGCACACCTAAGTGCTCGGCACTGCACGTGCCAAGGGAGTGCATGTGTGCTTGGTGCTGCACATGCTGGGAGCACACACACATGTGCTTAGCGCCACATGTGCTCAGTGCACAGAGCTGCAGCAGCCTCCTCGTGGCAGCGGGGAGGCCGGGCTGCCTGTGAGTTGCCATCTGCCTGGAGCGCCAGCTGCTGTGAGCAGTGCGGTGGCTCAGCACGGGGACAGGCGCTTTGCCAGAGCCCCCCATGGCCCCCCGGGAGGCCCAGGGCTGGACAGAAGTGCCTAGCACCTCCTCCTGCCCTCAGAGCTGGCCTCAGCCCTCTTGTTCTTGGCTGGTCCATGAGGACAGGAGCTTGACACGCTGCATCTCATGCTTGTTTTAAGTCAAATCAGGCCTTTTACTGTAACATCTGGCTTACAAAGGCTCCTAGATGAAGCTATATTGGTACAACTTCTTCCTTTGTTGATTTCCCTTGACTCACTAGCACAAACTGAATTTGCACTACTGAAAATCTTTGGGCAAGTTCAACCTGATGTTGTCCCACTTTGCCAGGAGGGAGACAGACCCTTAGACTCACGCTGCTCTGAACTGCGGCCCTAGTTATGCCTAGCAGGCATGTTCCCTGAGCAAGGGCTGATAAGGATGGCAGTACTATTTTGGGAAGAACAAAGCTATTTTTCAGAGGAGGGCTAATACAAGCAGCCCCAGTAAAAGCTTTTCTAATTTAAGTTTCAGGCTCTTCTAGCCAGGAGGGGGAACAGGAGCATTTCATTTTAGCCTAATAAGAAGCTCAGCTAAAAGATTTTGAGCGAGTCTTGAACTGTAAGGAAGCCTGGAAGGCTCTAAAAAAAAAAAAAAAAAACAAAAAAACCTTCCCC